TCGATTACTGTGACGATATAACGATTGCCTCTAGTGGTTATTCCCATTTCTAGTAGGTCCACGCCCACTATCTCGAATGGCCTTGTCGTCACAATCGGTCTTAACGGGGGCATCTGTCCAGCAGTTTTGTTTGAAAGAAAGCAGTGTTGGCACTCGCGCGTCCATTTTACGATATTCTGACGCACTCCAGGCCAGAAAACGTGCCTCCTCAGCAGCCGAAATAGCGTTCGTGCGCCAAAATTGCCTCCCATCGTGCCCCGAAGAGCTTCTAGAAACAACTCATGCCGCTTGGAAGTGGGAATCATATCCCTCAATCGTTCGTCCGGTGCGATCAGCTTTAACCTGCCACCTTCGACGACGAAGTCCGCTGAAGAGAGGTGTTTATCATGTCGCGAGCTGAATCCGCTCAATCCGCGCATCGACCGCCTCTCCTGCCGCTATATACCACTGACTCATACACACTACTGAACCGTTTCAATTCTCAATAAATTCCGATCCGATAACAACTCGGTGAACTTCGCGATATCCTGCTGTCGTTATGTTCGAGGTTCACTTGCAGTATACGCAACAAATATAGGTTCTTTACTCAAACGATATTCTTCGACTATAAAAACAAAAACAAAAAACAAACAAAAACACAATCACTGATAAAATACATAAAATCAATCACACCAAACGGCGCATACGCGCTACAAAGAAAAGCCGCCGGCAAGCGCAGCCCCAGCCCACCACACCGCAAACCAAATTCCATCGACGCCGCTTGGCGGTCTCTCGCTCCAGCATCTCAGCAGCGAACGTCGTAAAGCTCATCTGAAAAAAGGATTTGATCTCCATACAGATAGACAGATAGAAATACACGGGTGTGCAAAGCTTAAGGACGAGATAGATGCGGTGAAATTGACTATTGATAGCTTTGTGGGCCGCCTAACGGTCCCTGCATTACTTCGCTGTACTGCACTGTAGCAGCTCTTTCCACGACAACAATGTAACTTCCGGAGGTAACCAAACCTTTACCGTAACCCCTTGGCGTCAAATAGCCTTGTTGTGCAGACGAAATGCACACCACACTGCAATTCTTCTATCTTCTTCACTACTTTCACTGCAATTCACGCCAATGATTTCGAATTTCAGCGAACAAACATCACGCCAAACCTTTCACAGTAATCGTGAAACTGCTGAAAAGTGGGAAAGAGGAAAGGAGGTCATAAGGCGCTGTATCGTTAGTGTTTTCGATAGCATTGCTACAGCAGATTCATTACATTTGCGTTGTTGAATTCGTAAACTCTTCTTTAGATGGGCGCTGATGTCGTCGGGTGAGGAATCGTGCGGACCGAACCGGTGAGGGGAGGAACTATGGGAAAAATCAAAATTACTTACACTCCCATTCTCTAGTTGCCCTATGGCTCAGTTTCAAGGCGACATAGGGAGGGGGAATGTTGGCTGTATTGATTCGTTCATTCTGAGACAATGTTAAGCATACAATCACGAGTGAACCTATCTCTATGGTGTCAACATTGAGGATCGCTGAGTGTAAGCGTCTGTAAGCGCAGCGATGCACCGCACGCGAACTCACATTCCGATGACATGACCTGCTTCGACATGAAGCTGCGGCCTGGATGAAGAACCACTCTGTGGATATTACGAACTTTCTACAACTGGCGATGGCTCCTGGTATGAAAGGAAACTGAACCATTCAGTTCGGAAAAAGTCTACGCTTGGAGTCACTGAAAGCTTTTGCTCCTCTCGTGAAAAGAAATGCTACGATGTAAAGGCAGAAATTATTGAAATGCGCCTGTTTTTGAGCAAAGCTCCCCTGTAGATGACTGCACGCTCAACTGGGCAAAATTGAATTCGTAGTGTACAGGATACTGCTAGGAAGCACAGTCAATCTTTCCTAACCTTCCCACATATTAGCATATTATACAGACTTCGAATCCTTCGATATGGCTGTTCCCAACATGTCTATAATGCATTGCATCATCAATCACCTCTGAGAATCTTTATCGAGCAAATTGATCTCACATCATGTTGCGTCACAATCGATGGCGTAAGGTTTGGTGTAAGTGTGCATTTTTTCTGCACAACACAGTTTATTTGACGCCAAGGGATTACGGTAAAGGTTTGGTTACCTCCGGAAGTTACATTCTTGTCTTTCCACGCGTGATAAGGTTCCACAGGGTTCTTTTACCCGCCAGTCACACGTCATGGAAAAGCTTCGTTCGTCTTTCATCCAAATTTTGCATGCCGGCGATGATGAAAGAGCATTTTCCTGGGAAATATGTCCGCCTCAGAAGAAGACTTGGTCGCTATTTGACTTGGACTCCCAATCTGTGAAATCGCACAGTTCACCTCTTCATTTACGCTTTCCAAAATATGCGTGAGCTTTGCGGCCGATGCATTGCGCAATCCATTTTATTTGCTCTTTCACATGTGGTCACGATGCGCTCCAAACTGTGCCGTCAGGTCAACGGATGACTCACCTGATCATAGTCCATTTCTTAGGGTTCTATCGTAGTTTGTCTCAATTGCGCGTTCACTACTTCCACACCTGACGAATCGTCAACCGGCCTATTCGCAATGAACACGGTGTAGAATCGACAAAAGTTAGAGGGTTGACTTGATCCCCATGTTGGGCTGCTCGCCGGTACCGTAGGCTCAACCCGCGTTGAATCCCCTCGATGTCCTTCCACCGAACTCATGAACAAGTATAGTGTAAAAGACAGTCAATACAAATAAGCTGCGGCAAAACCCGCTACTGAACAGAAAGCAACGAAATTCAGTAAGCAGTTTTATAACTTCTGAGCAGAAACGAAGTGAATAATAATATGAATTTTCGAAGTGTTTTCAAGTGATTATGGAGGTAACTGATAATTGATTCGATAATGGCCCTTCGGCCGAGTGAGCAATCTGGCGGTAGATGCCTGAATAAATGAATACCTGAACGCACTTTCCTTCAAGGGAAACGACTTCCGAAAGCACTCAATGAAAGACAGGGTTGCATCGCAACCGCTCGGCTTTAATCCAAACTGGCCGTCAGATTGCTCCTCGAGGCGCCAGCTCCGTTTCGCGGCTTTTCAAAGAGAGCCCACGAACGGAGGCACACCTCCTACACGGCAATCGATATCGCCTGAGATCCCTCTCAAGAGACCCACATAGACCCAGAGACGTATTGCGAAACGCAGCGGCGCCTCGAGTGATATGCGGTATACACAAAACTTCGGTGTCCCGTAGGATTACAATAAGAAGACAATACAACTGTACAATAGGCACTTAATACATACTGTACAACAGGCAATATTTGTTCTTTTTGTTCTTATCGTGGACCATCGGTCTAAAGCAGTGATTCATTAATAGATCATGATTCTTCGGAAAGGATTCCTTTAACACATTGACGACATTGAGACGCGGTAACGCGTCTCACTTTGCGCACCTCGTTGGACATTGAGACGCGGTTGCGCGTCTCACCCTTGTCATCCCTTTTTCTAGCGCATGCGCGGCTTCTTCCCAATTGTTTGTATTTATTCTGTAGATCATACATTAACTAACTATAAACGCCGTGGTCCATGAAATGGTTACATGTGCTTGAATGCAGCTGAACCTGCTTATTTATGGCGCTTCGAAAGTCGAGGTGAAGCTACAGTTGGCGACTGTAGAGTTTGTATGCATCCTCTGAGAATGGTAGTGTGAGCTGTCACCGACTGATCCTCCCAATTCCCGTTGTACTCTTGTTTCGGTCCTCCACCTCCCTCCTCCCACTCCCCCCTCCCGCCTTCACTGACGCCGTAAGGCCTTTTGACGGCGGCTGTTACGATTTGCCATGTACAAACACAGGCTCACTTATTTGACCAAGTTGTGTCTTTCCTGCCTATCCTAATGGAACAGTTGCTCATGAACTGATCCGATTTTTTAAAATTCTATCTAACTTTCTAGCGTCGACCATAGGCATTCCAGAGAAAACTTCCGCCAACTTATGGATGTTGACTGTAAAACAGGAGTTTAGCTAAGTTCTCTATTCTTGTTCTAGCACAGCGACATACCGTCTACACAGAAGATGACAGCTGTGAACGGTAGCAACAAGAGTAAAAGACGCATTGTTCAGTAACAGTTTCAAATCAAATGCAAATCGCGTCCTGCTGCTTTTATAAGCATCAGCTTATTCATTGCTATTGTAAAACCGTGAATGCATAAAGACCTGTTTCGATGAAGGTCGTTTGTTAACATCTCCGTGTCGGAAAGCAAGGACTCCATTGTGGTGAATGTGTTAAGGATGGAAGATTGCAAATTAAAGGCAAAGTTCGGGCTCAGACCCACTTAATGAGCCTTTACGGTGGCTAGAAGCGCTAGGTACGCAAGTGTAGAGGTCGCGTCACTTCCCTACTTCGAAAAGCGTTACTTAGACGCTAGGCGCTAAGAACTTTGACACGCTCCACCTGTTGCGACACGCTCCGCCCACCGCTCGATATCTTGTCTGCGTCGCTAACTTGATCTGCTATGCTCTCTCTACTCGTACTTCTCTAGCGCCCGCATTATCTCTCATCTCCCTGCCGGCCTTTTGAACTTCTCCGCAGCGTAGAGCAAAAGGCTCGTATTTCCTGTGCATTTCACGATTTTTTTCTCTTTTTTCTCCCACTGGCGGTCCACTTCCTACCCCTGCTTCACATTTGAGTGGAATAACCTCATAATTTAATCCTGAATCTTGCCTTTGAGGGCTGGTACTACTGATTGCCCTCGGCGTTTTGAGGACATATGATTCTGACAACACAAAAATCGTAACATTTATTGCATCATGTGCAAGTTTTTCAAATTGTTTCTATAAACATTTATTTATTCAAGTCCATGAGGGAAGTGCCCGCAAAATTTGCAGTTGAGTGAGAGGGCGGGAAAGAACTTTTTAAACAGATAGACCATTGAGTTTAGCGGTAGGCGAAACCAATGTTCCTTCAATCTGGAAATAAACATATATCCATATGGGCTCAAACAGTGTGGAGGTGATGAAAGAACTACTTTTCGGATGCCTCATCCATGGTCATCTCGCCCCGTCTGATTCGTCGACCGTATTGGAGCGCCTTAAACGATGCAATTGATTCAAACTCTCCACAGGACATTATAGGGATTTTAGGAATCCGATTTACCTCTCCTACAAATTCATAAGCTGCTCCGTTTTCTTTAATGAGCGTTTGTAGAGTTTCTCGGTAGCTATCCACCTTCTCGCGCAAGTTGTTTTCCTTCAAAAGCTTCTTGTATTTGTCCTGAAATTTTCGAGTAATTCCGTGTTTGTTCTTTGCACTGGGTAGCACGTTTTAGCTTTTCGGGCCTCATGCCTCCTGTAAAGAGACGCTCCATCTACCTGGTCGTTCCTGCCGTTGTAATCTGTAGAATGAAGCATAATCTCATCTAATTTCGTGGCCTCGTCCTTGGTCAATCCACTGAAAATCTCGAACAGCTTGTGGATGTCAACTGTAAAAGCGGACAGTCTCGCTGAGGTGAGATAGTTAGCCTTGTTATTGTACTGCGACGTACCTTCTGCACAAAAACTAAACGATGAGAGCAGAAGCACCAGAATTATAGAACGCATTCCTCCGATCGATAGCGATTGCAAACTGTAATGAATAACTTCTCTGTTCACGTCTATGCCTCGTTTTATTAGGTTGTCACAACATTTCTGGGACACTTTGGGTGCTTTTTGGTTTTTTTTTACTTTTTTATCTCTCATATATAAATATTCAACACAGTATACACCATCATTTAGCAACATATCACCAAAGCGAGGGTATGTGTTCAATCTCTCTTTCTCAGAATTCCAATAGGTTTTGATTGGAGATATGTTGGATGTCGGTTCTGACATCATGGTGATTAGAGATTTCCCTTTCGAAAGTGGAACTAGGAGAGGGAAGCCTATGCTCGTTCGTTGGCACGAGGTTACGGCTACACTAATCGTTCGCCCAAGAGTTTTAAATTTTTCATGAACTTTCTTCGTAAGGTGGGGTCAAACGACCTCAGAAAAGACAGACTCTATTTTGCTTTTCTTTCGAATTGAACGCGTCGTCATTATGCTGTCGCTGAACCCGTTATTATCAGATGCTGGTTCTTCCGTAGGCACTCTCATATTCTGCCAACAGCTCGGCAGGTTCGAATTGGGAGTATGACAGACTTTTGCTGTCAGAAAGAGCTAGGAGGGTCAACCCTATCGTTGTTACTTTTTGAAAATTTTTTACGACCCCCTCCCCCAAGGTGGATTTGATACGACCCCCTTTTCCACACCTCGACCACCATCATCGTCTCTATAGTATTTAATTCTGATACCACTCAACTCACCAAACTCCGCTTGGGGGATATATAGCTTCTCTGAAATATAATAGTAAAAATTCCCTCTACAGTGCGGTGCACAATAGATTGCACCCCATAGAAAACTTTGTTTTCGAAAGAGCCGCGAAACTTTTGTTGCTTCTGCCTATACTATAGTTTAGAAGATAAAAGAATAATATCTGTGATATTTATTTGACATTACGACTTTTCAAAGTTTGTGACAACAATTTTTCACTTTTTGAGCCGGTGCATAATAGATTGGACGATATGTATTGTGGATCAAAAAACAAGACGTAAAGTCTGCTCCTCATCTAAGTATGAGTGCAGCGTCCTTCTTCTCAGTGAGCTTGGAACTGGAATCAGATTTTGAATCAGCGCATTCTAAGCAGCAGAGGCGGTAGAGTTTTCCACTCCTTTGTAATGGTATTTCTTAGCGGCTGAACATTGTCATACGCTTTCCCATTTGCGAAGATCTTACGCGTTAGCATACCCTATATATTCCCGATAATATTCGAGTCAGGTTACATCAGAGAATGCCCACGAAACCATCAAGGAGAAGCCGCCGATGTTGCTTCGAGACACCAGTAGTGGTTCACTTCTGCAAGAGCGCCAGTTCGAGTGCCGTTAACACGACTCATCTCCGCCGAACAAAATGTCATCGAAAGAAATTACCGTAGAAAAAAATAGAAATGAGAAATTTAAATTTAACATAAAGCTGGAAATGTGCCCAGAACACTCCGCTGCCCAATCTCTGTTATTCTCATTCCTCGCAAGAGGGAGCCGCTTATGTCGATGATATTGAGTCAGGCGTAGTGTCGGCTTTATTTATTGTCGAACTATGTGGTCCGATATTTTCAAAATACGAGACACGGTCCATTTCGAAACGACAATCCCGCAAGCGACAGCCAATTCATAGGCAACCTTTGTGGAACTCAATGCCAAATTAATCAAACAGCGCCTGCCGCGCTCAGGAACAGTTGACTTCCGTACCATCTTGTTCTTAAGAACAGTTTGAGAATGATTCTTGATCACAGTTGCAACTGTACTCCTAGGAATATTGGGTTCCTTAGAGATTTGGAGCCAAGGTCAACGTAACGCTTCAGTTCGAATCCAGTCTTCGTTTGTGAAACGCGTATACTTCACATAATACGTGAGTACATGCAAATTTAAAAAGCAGGAAAAGAAAGTCGGAAAAATGAATATCTCAAGTCGTCCAATCTATTGTGCACCGCCAAAAAAATCAATATTTCACTCTAAAAATTTTCAAAGACACTGTATCTAACTGAATATTGTGTCAACATTATTTATCTACTTCCCCAGGAAACATATCAACAGCAGAATCAATAAAAGTTTCGGCCTCTCTCAAAAACTAAGTTTTTTATAGGGTGCAATCTATTGTGCACCGGGGTGTATCTCCGCCATTTTACTCCTACTTTTACCGGCTTTCAATATTTACCTATATTCCCACTACTTCCATTTTCTAGGGGGGTATATACGCGCGCTGAAACGGCAAATTTTTATCCTGCGCCCCTCAACTCACCCAGCCTACTACCCACGAAATCTTAGTTTCACCTCAATCCCACATGTGATTTCGAGCGACTGAAGTGGGTACGACCCCCCTCCTACAAACTCAACCAGGTACGACCCCCCCCCCGTTGTTACTAGTAACAACGTAGGGTTGACCCTGGCTAGGATATTGCCGATTTTTGGTTTGTCGGAACCCTGCCCACACGCCACATAACCCAAAAGTGTGCTGGGTGGTCAGTGGAATGGAAAACCAACAGGAACATAACGATGTCACATCGCTTTTATAGCTGATCCTGGATTACAGCATGTAAGATACGAACTTCATTCTTTACGATTCTATGAGGATATCTCAGTAGTGTCGCCTTATACATCGAGAGCGCTCTGGCAAGTAGGTAGTCCGTATTTTTAACGGCGTCCTGTAGAGCAGTGAGATTATCTGTCGTCGGGTGTTGGAATGTCGTTCGTCTTCAAAAGAAAGAAGGCATGAGGCAACCATCTTTGCATGTAGATTAAAGCCAGCGTGCTCTCAACTATCTTATGCTTAATCTCCTACGTAGCCTAGCCCGTGGAAGATCCTAATCGGTAAAGAAGG